AGCTCTGCTTCAGCACAGCTTCCTGGCAGTGGGGGGCTGGGGAGGTACTGGAGGGGCCGGCCTTCCTGCTTCCTTTCTGCCAGCTCCTTGGCACAGCAGCTGGGTGTGTTGGTCTCATAGGTGTCATGGAAGGTGTTGTAGTCCACCTCATAGAACCCCTTTTCCAAGGTGAGAACTGGTGTGAATCGGTGGCCCCAGAGCACTTCTGTATCCATGTAGGAGCTCCGTGCTTGGCAAGTCATGCCTGGGGGAACAGAGGGCACAAACATTAGCCACCCATCATCTGTTCATCTGTCCTTCTATCCATCACCTATCTATCCATTCATCTATTGTCCATTCACCCACCCAACCAACTATCCAATGATTTGTCATCCACCCATCCAGCCTATCATCTATCTCTCATTCACCTCTGTATCCATCTATCCATCCAATCATCCACCCATCCATCTGTGCATCTGTCCATGCATCCATCCACCCATCTATCCATCCACTCATCCATCCACCCACCTATCCATCCAATCATCCATCTACCCACCTATCCATCCAATCATCCATCCATCCATCTATGCAAACAGTCATCCATCCATCCATCTATGCAAACAATTGTCCATCCATCCATCTATGCAAACAATCATCCATCTATCCATCATCCACCCATGCAGCCAATCATCTACCTATCTATCCATCTATGCTTCCATCCAACCATCCATCTAATCATACATCCACCCATCTATGCATCTATCCAGCCAGTCATCCATTCATCATCCGTTCATCCATTCATTACCCAACCACATGTCCGTGCATCCATCCATCATCCATTTATACATTTAATCATCCATCAAGCATTTGTTAAACATCTTCTTTGTGCTCAGAACAGCAGAGACATAAAGCTGAATAAAACACAGTCCCTGCCCTGGAGGAGTTCAAGGTGTGGTGGAGGCAGAAAATTAGAAATTAACATGCAAGATTCTGGAGCAGGTCCCTAGAGACTGGAGTGAAAGATTCTGGAATAGTTAGAACCAAGGTCATGGCTCCTGAAAACTGTATTAAGGTCTAGCAAATGTAGACAAAACAGAATTAAGAAAAGGGTTTGAACAAAGAGAAATTCAGGATGAGTGAATGCAGAGAAGCTGATAGGCATTTGGGGTACACAGGGATTGTTTTGGGTAGACACATATGGGCAGAAGCCTACACACACACACACACACACACACACACACAGAGCTTGGCTACCTGATTTAAGCCTGCTCCAGTGCCTCCATTCCCTGTCCACGCGGCCCTTGCACGCTTGTTATTTTTAGCTGTTGCTTCCTCTCCGGAGAGGACGGCAGCTTTGTTCATGGATGAGGAAGCCTCTATACTTAGGGTCACGGGAAAGCATCTTTCTGATATTTAGTCTTCTGACCAAGGAAGGCACTAGTTTGTGCTCTTTGGGGACAGAGGGACAAGCCTGCTCCAGCCCCCCAGTTTGGGTTTCCTCTGGCAAGTGTCTCATACAACCCAGACGCAGGCCAAAGGCTGCTTCTTCTCCACTTGTGCTCCAGTGCTGGGCAACCCCAGTGCACCCCACATGCTGTGGGGCCACAGCCTGCTGTCTGCTTGCACTCCCAGGGTGCTGCACTCCTCTCCATTCAGTCCTTGGCCCTAGGTGCCCAATACCCAGCCTCAGCAGAGGGGTAGAGGCCTGAGCTGGGCACTGCGCAGCCTAGACCCAGGCCAGATGTCGGAGGCTCGGGAAGGATAGCGGGACAGGACCTCCACAAACCTTTGGGCCAAACCTCCTGGGGCTCTCCCTGCGCTTCTGTCCCACCACTTGCATGTGGCAACAGGTTACCAGGAAGCTAGAAATCCTGCCTGTGTCCCTGGCAGTCATCATTCAAGGCCTTGGGAAGGAAATAAGCCTGTCTGGTTGCCAGGCACTATGCTTTACATATGTTACTGCATTTAATCATTTAATCCCCCCAATGACCCCGTGAGATTTATTGTCCTCCTTTGCTGACAAGTTAAGCAACCTGGCCAAACCCGCAGGTGTGCGTCAGTCATATTCAGCTTGAATTCTTAGCCCATGCTTAGCTCCCTAAGGGTGGCAACCAAACCATTCAAGTCGTAGAGATCAGAACAGATGCGGGTGGGTGGTCTCCTGCCCCTACCTCCCTGGGTCCCCCTGCAGGAGGCCCAAGGGCAGTGGCAAGGGCACCGCAGGTATGGGAGGGGAGGAAGGAAACCAGGTAGGGCAGGCCACTGACTTGGCAGGAGAAGTGAAGGGAAGCGCCAACTGGGCAGGGTCAGCGCCCACTCTCCCCACAGCAGGTGGCGGTGAGGACATGGGGCCCGTGGGTGAGGGGCCTGTTGGTTGGGGTCACCTGTCTTATTTGTCCCCACCTCTCTGTCCTGACCCCTCATGTGTGCTTCAGAGTGTAAGTCTTCCCCCAGAAGCTCAGCCTGTGCTCTGAGCTGAGCCCAGCAGCAAGGGCAGAGCAGCCTGTGAGCCCCTGGCTCTGGGGGAGGGAGCTCCCTGCATCCTGGCCTGGCCTCGGCCCCAGGGGCTCCCGCAGCTGCCACCATATGCTGCCTGGCCAGGCCCCAGCTCCCAGCAGACGGCCAGCCGGCCCCCTCTGTACCGGTCCTGGAGCCGGGTCACACCCCAGCCCAGTTCCCCAGGCCCAAATGGGAGGATTTGTGGGTGTGCCCACCTGAGTCTCCCACCCAGCAACCGATTTCCTGAAAGGTGAGGGAGGCTTGTTTGGCCACTTTTTTGACAGGCTCCTGACGCTCTAGGAGGCAGCATGGTGTGGTGGACAAAGCTCTGTTTGAAAGACCCAGGCATGAACACTTCCTGTCTGCAGATGCAGTTTTCCACATGCATAAAACACAATTGGAGCCAGCCCTTGGGTGTTGTTGCAAGAATTAGAAAAGTATGTAACATTCCCAGTGGGAGTGAGTAAAGAGGAAGGTAAGAGTGAGAAAGGGGTTAAGAAGCAGGGTGCAGGGCTTTGCTGGGGCAGAGGGGGGGTCTGTGTCTCCTCTCTCTGGGAGGTCTGGCCCAAGTGCTGGAGATGGAGACCTGGGCTCCCCGGAGCCCCCGCACAGAGCTCTGCCTTGGCCAAAGAAGGGTGGAAGCTCCCGGCTTTGAGAGTTGGTAGCTGACCTGCCAGGGAGGTGCCTGGCTGGCCACGAAGAGGGCCTTTTCACGTGTGGATATGGTTTTCTATATGTCCTGTGTTTACTGAGCCAGCCTTCCATAGGTAAGCTGAAGGGCAGCCTGCCCCAGGGGGCTCCCAGCTGGAAGAGCCACTCCCAGGGGTCTGAGGCATAGATGTCTCTCCAAAGAGTATTCTGTGCCTTTGGGAATCCTTGAGTTTGGGAAATACCACATATTTTCCTCTTCTCATGATTCACCACATATAAAGACACTGTGAAGTCCTACTATAAAGAAATCAGTTCACCCTGTTTTAAGCCCATGCTTCTCAAAGACATCTAATCACAGAACTCTTTTTTTTTTCTGCTCCAGGACAGGGTGGGGGCAGTGTATAGACTGTTGCAGATGAGTGTTCCGGGTTCCCCTGCCGTGATGGGCATCCTGGCTCTAGGACTTAGTAGCGTTCGCTCTTGGACAAAATTGGACCATAAGTGCCTCTGTTTCTTTAACTGTAAATTCAGGAATACTATCTCATTAGGAAGGCATTCACTGAGATAGTACATGTTTAAAATTAAGAACTGTGCCCTGAGGCTGGGAGGGCTCAAAAATGGTAGCTGTTGTTATTGCTCTACTTTGAGGAACTGTACCTTTTGGGTCACCCAACCCTTTGGGCTGGGTAAGTGTGCCATCTCACAGTTCTTAGGACTCTTGGGCATCAATTTCCATCTTCTGGAGTCACAGCAGCCCAAGCTCTTGGGGGTGGTGAGGGATTCCATGGCCAAGGAGGATAAAATGTCTTACCTGTTGCCTCCACCATCCCTTCGAGAATGACCACGATCTCAAACTCCTCGTGATCCAGCTGAGCCCGAGACATCTCCCAGAAAGGGCTCTTCTCGTTGATCTCGTGGGAGATGATGAGTGGGGACACCAGGAAGAGCCGGTCGTCCCCAGTGTCGAAGCCCACGTTAATGTCAGTCTGGTTCAGGGGGATGAACTCCCCTTCTTTGGTCTGCCGGGACTTGATGAGCTTGGCGCGGATGGAGGCCTCCACGATGTGGGAGTTGCGGAGGTCCCCCACCCGGAACATGAGGCAGAGCCTCTCATCCCGCATGGAGATGACCGCGTTGTTGGAAAACATGAGGGTCTCCGCTCTCTTCTTCGGCTGGCTGATCTTGACAAACATGCACCCCACCATGAAGGCATTGACGATGGAGCCCAGGATGGCCTGCACCAAGAGGAGTATGATGCCCTCTGGGCACTTCTCTGTGATCACCCGATAGCCATACCCAATGGTGGTTTCTGTCTCAATGGAGAACAGGAAGGCCGACACAAAGCCACTGAGGTTCTCGACACAAGGAATCCACTCTCGGTCACCAACGTGGTCCAGGTCACCCCGGACGTAAGCAATGAGCCACCAAATGAAACCAAAGAACAGCCAAGTGATGGTGTACACCATGGTGAAGACAAGCAGGTTGAAGCGCCACTTGAGGTCCACGAGGGTGGTGAAGAGGTCGCTCAGGTACCGGTAGGTCTCCTGGACATTGCCGTGGTGGACGTTGCACTTGCCGCTCTTCTCCATGTAGCGCTGGCGGGGCTTCTTGCCTTCCACCAGCAGGTGAGTGCGGTCGGTGGCAATGGGGATGCAATCACGGGCCTGTTTGGGAATCTTCTTAGAGTCCCTGGGAGTGACTCCAATCTCCATGTCCTGGTTCATAGTATTCCTAGAATCGCCAGCCATAGCTGGGGTACGTTGAGTTAAAAAAAACATCATCAGTGAAGTGGACTATTGTGATTCTCAGAAACACAAGGCTTTCGGGTCATTCCTGCCTCTGTGCTCTCAAAGGCCTCTCATCTAGGGCATGGTTTGCTTAGATATTATTTGCTTATATCCTTGGTGCGTCCTGAAAATTCTAGCATTAATAGAAACTCAGTATTTGTTTGCTGAGTGAATAAATGAATAGTTTCTAGGTGCACACTACACATTGTGCTTAGAGGATTTAAGGAAATCTGGGAGCAATGTTAAAAATAATTGTAATAATTTATTAAATGCCTACTATATCCTGTGCATTTATACATGGACTGTCACTTGTTATCACAACAACCAGTCAGAGTTAGATCTCATAGTCTCCAATATATAAATACTATATTGTTTGCTGATGTGCCATGTTTATTTCTAATAGTGTCTCTTCCCCACTGAAATGTAAACTCCATAAGAGCCCAGTTCTGTATCTGTTTTGTTCTCTGCTACATTCCAAGTACCCAGAGGACAGCCTTGCACATACCAAGTATACAAAAAGTACTTATTGAATAAATGGATGAATAAATAAGAAAATAAAAGTCCCAAAGAGCTTAAGTGACACCTGAAGCAGTGGCAGAGCTGATATTTGGATTCACACTTGTCGGGCTCAAAGCCTATGCCCTTTCCTTTATGCCACCCTGTCCTCCTCCTTTTTATCTAGGATCTTGGCAGCAGACAGAAGGGAAAAGGCAGTGTGTGTCTGATTCACCACGAGGTCCCTTCTACTGTCTGAGTGGGGAGTCTGGCCATCTGAGCACTTACTAATATGACAAACTACTGTGTTGACCCAGCATTAAAATTTTTGACATGATAATTCCCTGTCCACTAAGGAATTGAGATGGGCAGGATAATAATGCCCTGAGGTTTTCAAAAGGGCTATAAATTTATATGTGTGGAATCTAAAAGCAAAAACCCAAACAAAAAATAAAAATGAACCAAAAGAATAAGCTCACCGATACAGAGAACAGGTTGGTCATTGCCAGAGCGAGGGGGCAGCAGGGGTGAAATGGTGAAGGTGTTCAAAAGGTCCAAGTTTCCAGTTATAAGGTCAGGCAGTCCGGGGATATAATGTACAGCATGGTGACTATAGTTAACAATACTGTATTATATGCCTGAAAATTGCCAAGAGAGTAGATCTTCAAAGGGGTCATCACAAAGGAAGGAAACTGTAACTAGGGGTGGTGATGGATTTTAACTAGATTTACTGTGGTGAGCATTTCATGGTATATATCAGATCATTGTATTGCACACATGACACTAATACAGTGTTATATGTCCACTATATCTCAATAAAAATATTAACTTTAAAAAAAGACTGTAAAATGTTTTTGAAGTATATGCCACACTTTAAAGAGACACCCAGACCCCTGTAATACTCAATCTACTATTCTCTGATACGCCACTCCCACCCATTTAAAAGGTTTTACGACTCTAATGAAGCTAGGTAAGACCATGAGAATGCCTACAGCTAGTAACAGCTGCTCACATTTCTGTGCATTCGTGACCCAGACACTGTGCTAAGAAACATATATCCATTCACTCATTTGTAATCCTCATGACAAAGCTATTAGACAAGCATTGTTATTATCCACCCAATTTTCAGACAAGGAAAATGAAACTCATGTAGTAAGTGGCTGAGTTAGGTTTCGGATCCAGGTTTATCTGACTCCAGCTTATGGGCTCACAGCACCCACCACACAGTGGGCTTCAGGCATGGATGCTCTGTGGCTCATGCCCAGACTGAGGAGCTGCACCCTCCAGAAAGTTCTATGAACTGATCCTGGGAGAAGTCACTTCAGGGGATGCTATTATTCAGCCCCTTATATTTTTAAGCAAACTTTTCTTGATTTCACAGTTACTCCCCTTCCCAGGAAACTGCATCCCTGATAGAACAACCTGGATCAATGTCCTTTAAACCATGGAGCGAACTGCCTCGTTGACTAAGTGAGAACCATCCCACCCATCATGGGAAGTCAGATGACCCCGGTGGACCTTTTCCTCTGCTGCCTGGGTGGCTGCAGCAACTTCAAATTAACCTTTAAAATGTTATATTGGAGGGTCATTGGAAGGGCTGTTTGTCCCAGACATCCTCTGGCCATTTCCCATTCTGCACAGGGCCACCTGCTCCTGCCCCTTCTCATGGCAATCACACAGGTAATGGAACAAGGAGGGAGATGCTTGGTGCTGCTTTGCGTGATTTTGAATCCCAAGCATGATTTTGCTTTGCCTCTAGGTAGGAGACTGTTTACTGCATACAGAGATGCCCAGAAATGGTGAGAAACAAAACTAAGGCCCCATGTGCTCCTGGGGACCCCAATTGTTGGAACCCAGATGGGGTCTGAAAGCAGTGCTGCCTGTGGACTCCTGGATCCACTAAGGTTGGACAGGGCAGGCACATGCTGGCCAGAGTGAGCCACTGGCCAGCACACCTGAAAAAGCATGCCCTTCTGCCCTCCGTGCTTTGGGGAAAACAGCTTTCTGCTGATTTTATGCACTGGTTCCTTCTTTATTTTTAAACATACTTGCATACGTTCTTGTAGGAGAAGGCCTTACACTGTACTAGAAACAGAAAAAGGTTTTCCAGGACACCTCAGCCAGGATCTGAAAACTTGCTGTGTCCATCAGACAGGAAAAAAGAGGTTTGCTTCTGATTTGATATTGGCACACATCCTCCAAGTGTGTTGAAATCATCTGCAGAAGGTATTCCTCACCCAACCCAGGGGGAGATCTGGATTCCAGTTCAGCTTCCTGCAAACTGGTTCTGTGACCCAAAAAAAAAACAGCCTTAACTTTCTTTGCCTCCATTTACTCTGCTATGAACCTTGGATAATATTATTTGCCCTTCCAGCCTTGGGGCCACTGGGGGAGTCTAGTGAAAGATTATATGAATACAAACATGACTGTAAGTATAAATGTAAACACATATGCATAAACTCTCAAACTGAAATTTAATGCAATGTCACATTAACTCCATTTAACAATGAATAGAGAGGCTTTGAGTATCTAAGTCAAGTACCTAAAGCCTCCAGTGGGCTGACAGGCATGGAGCCTCTTCCACCCAGATGTCTTCTAGGAGTAAGTGAAAATGCCCATCCTAGAAATATTGGTTTCCAGTGCTGTGGACCCATAAAATCAGAAGGGTTTTCAGGGACAATGGAGATGAGCTTCTTTAATCAGATTTTCAAGATCTGATCTATAATTTATGAATGTATTCAGCAAGCATTAATTAAGGAACTACTGGCCTAGCTTCTGAGCTGAGAGCTGGAGATAGAGCAGTGGATAAGCTAAATGCAGGCCCGAATGCAGTAGCCAAGTTACTTCGCTTGACCTCGGTTACTTTTTCTGCAAAAGGGGGATGATAATAGTGCCAACCAAAGAGGGTTGTTGAGGAAGTGGAATGAAAGGTGCATGTACAGAGCCTGGTGATAGGAGCTCTCCACGGTAGTAGCTATTATTTTCTCTCTGGGGCAGGGTTGGGGGAAGGAAGGGAAGGCACAGTGCTTCAAGCAATTCAAGGGCAAGAAAGGACCCAACATGCCCCTGGTACCTCCTGGGTCAGCATCCCACTTCCAGGGGAGGCATTGCCTTCATTTCGCAAAGAGGGGAGCAGGGAGAGAGCTTCAACGACTGCCCAAAGTCACACAGCTGCTGCAGCAGAGGTAAGATCCAAGTCCAGCCCTAAGGATGCCCACAGCATGCATGCCACAGAGGGCTGCTTCAGGAGGGGCTCCCAGTGGGATTCGGGTTGGGAGCCCCTCCCTTTCTTTCCTCAAGAAGCCATGCCTGGAGAACTTTCGAAGAACTTTCACTTTGGGCCCCAGAGCTCCGATCCTGAGCAATTCTGCATGGTGACCCGTGCAGCTGCCCTCCACTCCTCGATTCCTGGGTCCCCATGAGTCCCCCTCCCATCCCCGTGCAGGAGCATGAAGAAGAGGAAGAGGGGAGGCGACCAGGACCGGGAGGGGAGCCCAGATCTCTGCGGCCTGAAGCGTGGGGTCGGATCCCAGGGCCTGCCAGGTGGGCATGAGCCTGGCCACCCTCCAGCCCTGACTTGGGAATGTGACCCTTCTTTTCTCAGCAGGCTGTCCCGACGTGCAGATGGAAATGGCAGCTCTAGCCCCTGCCTTATGGTTCCCTGACAGCCACCAGCTCAGAGGAGGGGCGCAGCAGCCTACCCGCAGGCTGTCCTTCCCGAGCAGGATGCAGAAATAGCTGGTAGAGGCGGGGATGGGGACCTTGTGGGGGCGAGCGGCCCGGGGGAAACGCAGACTGGCCTGGTCCAGAAACGAGCCTGGCTGGGCCAGAAGCTGAGCCCCCTTCTTCAAGGAGGAGTCGGTCAATGATGCCAGCCACTCACAGCCTGTGTCCAAACCCCACTGATGGCCTGGCTCCTCCCAGGGGGCCAGTCCTGGTTTCCCAGCTTTCAAAACTACCAACCTTACAAAACAAAATAAAAACTCTAGTGCATTCTGAGGTTTAATGGCAAAAACGCTCAGTAGTAATGTATTTAAAAATCTATCAGATATTTTATTTTAATACCTAACCATTTTGCAGCTATTTGTTCTTATCAGTTTAGAACTTGAACCCAAGTTCATAAAGTATCTGGGTAATAATACATGAAATACTAGGTGTGAAAGCTCATTGGAAACAAACATACAGATTCATTCATTCAATCATTCGGTTCATCAGTGACAGTCCCACTGAACAGCCACTGTCAAGTTTGCATTCTGCTGCCCCTGAGGGTACAAGGAGGGACACAGCTTTCCTTTCACAGCAATCTTGTTAAAATGAGCATTCTGGGGCCCCAGGGTCTGCACTATTTTAAGTTGCTTCCCGTGATGTTGATGTGACTCACGCCCTCTGAGTCGCAAGGTTTTTCCCACCTGGTGCACATTGATATCAGCTGGGAGCTGGACGAAGCTGACAGTCTAGGCCTCCTGCC